TGAGGATCACAGTTAAAACCCAGCCCTGGTAGGAAATCCTGAGACTCTTATCTCCCAATTAACTACCCAGGCCAGAAGTGGAGCTTTGGCTCCAGTGGTAGAGCACTAGCCTACCTAGCAAAAAAAGCTACCCTAGGCCGGGCGCTGGTGGCTCACACCTATAATCCTAGCTACTCAGGAGGCTGAGATCTGAGGATCACGATTCAAAGCCAGCCTGGGCAGGAAAGTCCGTGAGACTCTTATCTCCAATAAACCACTCAAAAACTGGAAGTGGCTCTGTGGCTCAAGAGGTAGAGCACTTGCCTTGAGCTGAAGAGCACAGGGACAGCGCCCAAGCCCAGAGTTCAAGCCCCATGACCGGAAAAAAAAAAAAAAAAAAAGCTACCCTAACAGAAAAGCTCAGGGGACAGATGCCAGTAGCTCATGCCTGTAATCCTAGCTACTCAGGAGGCTGAGATCTGAGGATCTCGGTTCAAAGCCAGTCCAAGCAGGAAAGTCCATGAAACTTATTTCCAATAAACCACAGAAAACCAGACATGATGCTGTGGTTCAAGTGATAGAGTGCTCACCTTGCGTTGAAGAGCTCAGGGACAGTGCCCAGAGGTCAAGCCCCACAACCGATTAAAAAAAAAAAAAGCTCAGGGATGGCACTCCTGAGTTCAAGCCTAGGAGTGTCACACACACAAAAATAACTTGCCTGAGAGACCTGTGGAGCAACTGGGATTTGCTGTGATTAGCTCTAGGCTGCTAAAATGTGACTAAGGGTAGAGCGCTAGCCTTGAGCTGAAGAGCTGAGGGACAGCGCCCAGGCCCAGAGTTCAGGCCCCACGAATGGACCCAAAAAATAAAAAATAGAAAAATAAAATGTGACTAAGAGGAGAGGAATACATTCCAGGCAGAAAACCCAAAGCCATGGGCTGGGAAGGTGGCTCAGTGGTAGAGTGCTTGCCTTGCATGCATGAGGCCCTGGGTTCGATTCTTCAGCACCACATAAGCAGAAAAAGCCGGAAGTGGCACTGTGGCTCAAGTGGTAGAGGGCTAACCTTGAGCTGAAGACCTGAGGGACAGTGCTCAGGCCCAGAGTTCAGGCCCCACAACCGACAAAAAAAGAAAAGGAAAGAAAGGAAGGAAGAAAGAAAGAAAAAGCCAAAGAGCGAAAGGAGAGAAGCCTGCCATTTGCAAGTGAAGTGGCAGCTGACTGCAGTGGGGAAAGTTGTGACAAAAAGGTGAATTCAGGATAATTTGCCCACTTCCTTAGCCCCATTCCCATCACCTCATCTCTCTGGGAAACAGTCTTTCACTCCATCCCCATCCATCTCAATAGGTCTTCAAAGCCATGGTTCTGGAATGCACATACATTCTCTGACAATCTCTGCTTAAAATCTTTCTAGCCACCTTCCCAGCCCTCCTTTGTTTTTTTGTTTGTTTTTGGGTCCGGTCGTGGGGCCTGAACTCTGGGCCTGGGCACAGTCCCTCAGCTCTTCAGCTCAAGGCTAGTGCTCTACCACTTGAGCCACAGCGCCACTTCCGGCTTTTTTCTTTTTGCTTATGTGGTGCTGAGGAGTCAAACCCAGGGCCTCAGGCATGCAAGGCAAGCACTCTGCCACTGAGCCACCTTCCCAGCCTCAAGAGAACACTCTTATCTCCAATAAACTACTCAGAAAAAGCCAGTAGTGGTGCTGTGGCTCAAAGTGGTAGACTGCTAGCCTTGAGCAAAAGTAGCTCAGGGACAGCACCCAGGCCCAGAGTTCAAGACCCAGGAGCAGTTAAAAAAAAAAAAAGCTGGAAGTGGCACTGTGTGTGACTCAAGTGGTAGAGTACAAGCCTTGTAGCCCTGAGTTAAAGCCCTAGGACCAACACACACACACACACACACACACACACAACTAGCCACAGGCATAGGTCTAGGACCAATACACACACACACACACACACACACAGAACTAGCCACAGGCATAGGTCTTAAATGTTTGTTTTTTTCTGTTGCCAGTCCTGGGGCTTGAACTCAGGGCCTGGGAACTGTCCCTGAACTTCTTTTGCTCAAGAGTAGATTCTACCACTTGACCCATAGAGTCACATCTGGCCTTTTCTGTTTATGTGGTACTGAGGAATCAAACCCAGGGCTTCATGCATGCTAGGCAAGCACTCTACCACTAAGCCACATTCCCAGTCTTTTCTTTTTTTTTGGTTGGTGGTGGGGCCTGAATTCTGGGCTAGGGTTCTGTCCCTCAGCTCTTTAGCTCAAGGATAGCAATCTACCACTCGAGCTACAGTGCCACTTCTGGCTTTTTCTACTTATGTGGTGCTGAGGAATTGAACCCAGGGCCTCATGCATGCAAGGTTCAGGCCCCATAACTAAGAAAAAAAGTGTTCTTTTTTTTTTTTTTGGGTCCGGTTGTGGGGCCTGAACTCTGGGCCTGGGCGCTGTCCCTCAGCTCTTCAGCTCAAGGCTAGCGCTCTACC